GAGCTTTACTGGCTGAGCCATCACCTACTGGAGCCATAGGAGGATGTTGTCTCAGCCATAAATGGAAGCCTGATGCAGGGAGGCACCAATCCATGATGAGCTTACCTCCACCGCTTCCAGGGGGAAAGGGTGGACCATCCAAGGGTCCTACACCTGAGTTCTGCAGGTGGAACCAGGAAGGGCTGCTCAACAATGATAGTTGGGCTGTGCCCTTCTGGCTGATCTTAGGGAAGGGGCTTGGGCTTGAGTTGAATATAAGAAAGATGGTCCTTTCCTTTGAAGAACAGTCTTTTCTAAGTTTTTTAAATATCTAGCTAGGCCTAGCTGCAGCTAGCTTCCTGTACAGAAAGAATGTTCCCAGCTAGCACCAGGGCAGGAACAGGAAGCTTGGGTGGTGTTAGGCCTAGCTAGGCCTCAAAGTTTTGCAGTTTAGGCCTTTCCCCCAGGTGAGCCCCATTTAGGCGCCTGTGAGGTGTCTGTCTAGCTGCTAGGGCTCCCTGATAGAGAATGATGGGATTTTTAGTCCAAAAGGGCCATCTCTACATTTTTTCTCCCATACTCTTGAAAAATGCGATAGAATGAAACAGTCCAGGATCTGGCAGTGTATAACTATGAACACGCAAAGGTAGCCCATACAGAAATGGAACCAATCACTGCATATCCTTCCTATTTCAGGTGACGCTCACCTTGTACGGCCAGGAAGGAGAGAGCGAACCGCACCACCTGGTAGACCCCGATACCCCTGTCTTTGAACGAGGAGGAGCAGATGTCTTCATGTTGTGTACTCTCTTTCCTCTCGGAGAGCTGCAGAGCATCAGACTGTGGCATGACAATTCTGGAGAAAGCCCCTCCTGGTATGCAGGACAGGGCTATGCTTTAAACTTATTTTATGAAAAATATGTTCATTTGTTCTTTTTTTCCCCCTCCTGGAGTTTGCCAGAAAGGATTTCCCAGCAGAACCTCTGGCATTTATATATATTGGCCTGTCTCCTCTCTACTTACCAAATTCCAATTTATTTCTCTCTTTCTTCCTCCAATTTGTTTCATGTTATTTGCCCACAGGTATGTGAACCGTGTACTAGTCCACGATGTTGCCACGGATCAGAAGTGGCATTTCCTCTGCAATTCTTGGCTTGCCATTGATGTGGGAGACTGTGTCCTAGATAAAGTGTTCCCCGTCGCTACAGAGCAGGATATGAAACAGTTCAGGTATGTTAAGAAGAAGATGAAAATAAGTTTTTTTAAAAAAAAAACATTCAGGAATGTGATGCCACCTGTTTTCTCTCCACGAAGTGGGGAAGATTCCATAGTAGTCCAATATATAATGCAGAAAAGCTAGTGATGGAGGTTAGCATATAAATAAGATTATTGGTAAATGGAAAGTTCAGCCCCACACCATCACTTTAGTATGTAATGTAAAGTATATCAATTGTTTTGAGAGTCCATTTAAGCAAGAGGATGGGAGACAGACGATAATGAAAGATTCCAGGATGTAGCATTAATAGCATTTAATGTACCTGAATCACATAATCTATGCGCCCAGAAGGCAAATGCAATGGACAATGATTTTCAAAGAGGAAAAGGAAAATTATGGGTATTGAAATACAAAGCTGTCCAATAATGGCTTTGTTAAATATGTTTGGAAATATTCAGTTGGAACCGGGGGAGGGGGAAAGAACTAATAACTCTTATGTTAACAGCAGCGCAACTGATATTTGCAAAGAACTGGAAAAATAATAATCTGTTTGATATGGAAGATTGGTACAAAGAAATATGGTTATTCATGATGAATTAACTTGTGAATTGAACGTTAAAAGGGGAATATTGGAAATGCCGTGTTTTCTTAACAAAACTTTTATTTTTAAAAATAACAACAAGAAAAAAAACCCAAACCAATCCCCTATATGTCCAGTACCATAATTTAATTTATACATCAATGTCTTGCAGGAATCTTGCTGTGCAGGATCCCATCTGATCTTCTTTGTCTCTCCCCAGCAATCTGTTCTTTATGAAAACTTCCAAAGGTTTCCGTGACGGTCACATCTGGTATTCCATTTTCAACCGCTCTCCACGCAGCTCCTTCACACGAGCCCAGAGGGTCTCCTGTTGCTTCTCCCTGCTTCTCTGCACCATGCTGACCAGCATCATGTTCTGGGGGGTGCCCAAGGACCCAGCGGATCAGAAAATGGATTTGGGTAATTGCGTACCAGCTGTGCTGCTTGGGCTGTGAAATGGGGATCCGTAGAGTCCACATTGGCTTGCCGGACAAGAAAGCCCGGCCAGTGTCGGAAAGGGTTCCATAGAGCAGTGGTCCCCCAACCTTGGGCCTCCAGATGTTCTTGGACTTCAACTCCCAGAAATTCTGGCCAGCAGAGGTGGTGGTGAAGGCTTCTGGGAGTTGTAGTCCAAGAACATCTGGAGGCTCAAGGTTGAGGACCACTGCCATAGAGGACACGTTCTCTTGACTTTGCGAATCAGACTTTATTTGGGAGCTGACAAATGTTTAAAATGAATTATAACACACTGTGTATAAGAACACATTGTATTAAATGTTAGCAAACATAGCAGAATTGCAATATCACTTGACATGATTGTAAAATAAAATAGAAATCACGATGTGTACAGTACAATATGAATTGCAAACGCACCTGCCCATCCAACGAGGAAGTTTGCCATTAACGCAAACTAGAATGTGCAAATTGGAGCTGAACAGATGCCCTGAATGGCCTTCCAGAAAGAAAGAAAAACAATTCCATGTGGAATGAAGGCCCTTGGGAAGAAACAATGTGGTATAATGGTTAGTGTTGGGCTGCAAGATGGGAGATCTGTGTTCAAGTCTCTGCTCAGGCATGAAACCCACTGGGGGACCATGGGGGAGTCACCCTCTCTCAGGCTGACCTCAATTACAGGGTTGTGTGGATAAAAGATGGAGGAAGATGAAGAGAAGCATATAACAGATTGATGGACAGACAGATAGATAGACAGAGAGTGGGGTGGGTGGATTCTGCGTATTCAAAAGCAGCAGCATCAGAAACTCATAGAAGAAGCCCACGGACCACCAACTTTTGTCCGATTCTGTGTCAACATGTTAAGGTTTTGATGCCCCCTTTTTGGCTTGATCTCACCAGGGAAGATAGAGTTCACGTGGCAAGAGGTGATGATCGGCTTTGAGAGCTCCCTTCTCATGTTCCCCATCAACTTGCTGATTGTTCAGATCTTCAGAAACACTCGGCCTCCGCCTAAGAAAGAGAAGAAAGCCGGGAGAAATGGACGGGTGTCCCCAAACATTGCTGCTCCTCCCAGTCAGGATACCCAGAGCGTGTCCCTCTCTCCAGAGGCAGTGATCAAGGCAAGTGGTGTGAATGCACGGAGCGGCCTTCTGGGAGAGCTTTGCATGCCGAAGGTCACAATTCTGCTGATCAGGGTGTAGCTGAGAGCCAACGAATTATTCCCCCTGCCCCTTTTAGCGTGCGAAATGTCTTGAATGGTTCATTTACAAGCGCAACGTCTATGAATGGGACATTGAACATTTCCTGGAGCATCCTTAATCCTTCTGAGCTCTGTGGATGCGAAAGGTCGTTTTCTGCCATAATTCAGTAGTTCCCTATTTTCTGCTCTCCCTGTTCATCTGCCAAACAGAAGGGCTGGCTCTGCTTTCCATTTAGTGGTTTCACTGTGCTCATGTCACTAAGAGGAGAAAAATGTCCTAACCGTTTTAAATAAAGCCTACTGAAATGACAGAGGCCAACCAAAACATGAACAACAACAACAAAAAGACATACAGAAATGTTTTTTGGGGAATATCACAGTTCTTCATCAGATGAGATAGTAAATCCCTTCCATGTAAAATTTCCATAATAATCATATATCATCAGGTCAATGCTGGCTCATGGCAACCCCCCCTTTTTTTGGCTGGGTTTCCCAAATACCCCAAACTACTTAGGAGTAGTTTCCCATCCCCTTTTCCTGAGGGCGCCCTCGGACTGTGGAGCTTGCCCAAGGCAACACAGACTGGCTCTACTGCATGAGGCCCAGTAGGGGAATCAAACTCCCAACCTCTGCCTCCACAGCCAGAGACCTAAACCACCAAGCTATTCAACATTTCCACAGTATACTCCATACTGCAGTTGTATTGTTTAAAAGATAGGACCTAAAATGTCTTCCAGTTCTTAATGAGTTCATGAGCCATTGTGGGGGAAACCGAATCCGTCTGAACTAGAGATGGGCACGAACCGCTGGTTCATGCTGGTTCATCCTTGAGACTTTTAGTGGTTCCCAGCCTCTGAATACCTGTTTGACTGAAGGACGAAGCAACAACATGAACTGGTGGTTCACGCCCATCTCTAACCTGCACTGCCTGATGGGACTCATTCCTTTGTCTACCGTGGATCTTCTCAATTACATCCTCAAGTAAATGGCAGAATACAACAGCTTAAGGTCAATTCCTCTCCCAACTTGGAGCTCACCTCAGAAATTTCACCTGTTGAAGGATATCTACCCCCCCCCCAAAGCTTGGGCATTTTTATGTGCCTCTGCACATTGTTACATCGTTTTGGTTTGCCCCTAAAGGTATTGTCTCAATATGCCCTTTCCAGCTTTATGCCTTTGGTGTAGGTGAGGAAACTGTATATATATATATATTTTAAACAAACTGGCTGTTTCCTAATTTCCACAAATTGTTATTTTTTTTTCATGGCCCAGGATATTAGGCGAATTGCAAGTTCCTTGTTCAAAACCCTCAAGGCCCCTCTCCCTTCCTCTGAACCTGATTTTGCAAAATCGATGGATATCAACAAGCTGTTGGCCTTGGTGGAGGACATCATCTGCCAGCAGAACCGGATTGGGCAGGAATTTTATGAGGAGAACAAGAAGAAAGATGACCCAATTATCATTTCTCTCGGCTTGGTGGATTTACAAGGTAGGCAATAAGCCGGTCAATTTACAGACGGCAGGGTTCTGGTAAGTGAAAGGGGGGGAGTTGCTGGGAAGGGCAAGACAGCTGCCTGATAGGCGCCCGTTTCCTGATTATTTGACATCTTTATTTTTTGGGACAAGCCTTGCAGTGCACTTGGGACTGAAATCTCTCATTTGTTGAAGACAGCATTTGGGGAAAGAAGGGGGGTTGGGGGTCATCGGGCTGAGAGAAGGCCCCCACGCCATTGATTTAAAGCTGAGAGTCATCTTTTCTGAGGGCCTTACTAGAGGGACATTCTTTTAGATCCTTCCTGCCTCATACTAGATGATAGCAGGCTATAAGTCCTGGGCTTTTCACAAGAATCAGGGATAAAAGAGAATCAAGACTCTCTATAAGGAAGCATATTCACCAAACAGATCTGGCGAGTACTATAATGGAACTCTCAATTTTCCAAAGGAATATTCCGAGGTCTGGGTTGACTTACAGAGGTCTCAGTGGAGATTAGTGACTGACCGGTCTGGGTTTTAGCCTGAACTTTAAAGCAGCTTTCTAAGGAGCTCAACCAGTTTGAGGGATGGGATTCCCCCCCCAGTGCAAAATCAGAGTCTCCCCAGTAATAGGATCACCATGAAATGAATTTAGAGGGGGTGGAGAAGGAGCCTTTAAGCAACAAGCAACCAAATCTATGTCCTTTCTCTACCTTTCTCCCTGGAGAAAAGACAAGGAGCCCTACTCCAGAGAAAGGAAAAGGAGGGAAACTGAAGGATCGGGATTACAACCGTTGCCTCTACAAGCAGCTGCAACAGGTGGAGCTGGAACTGGAGCTGTTGGGGCCTCAGAAATTTCAGAACGCCCAAAGCTACACCCAGGCTGTTCGGCAGGTCCAGCACATGAAGGACTTCCTCGAAAATCAGCTTTGCCCGGCACCATCAACCAGCGAGGGGTAAAACACTGCATATTTAGGGAATGCAAGCTTTAAGAACTGTCTGTGCTTCATTATTTGTTGCATTATATCTTCCTGTCCCTCCGAGGTGCTCAGAGTGGCATCTCCTTTCCCATTTACATCATCACAACGCCCTTGTAAGCCGTGTTAACTTTGGAGATAACAAGTGACCCAAGCTTGCCCAGCAAGATTAATGGTTGGGAGATAACAAGTGACCCAAGCTTGCCCAGTAAGATTAATGGTTGAGTTGGGAACCGAAGCTAGTTATTCCCAGTCCCAGGGCAGACACTGTGCTGCAGGGTCAGAAGACCAAGCAGTCGTAAGATTGAATCCACGCGACGGAGGGAGCTCCCGTTGCCTGTCCCAGCTCCCGTTGCCTGTCCCAGCTCCCGCCAACCTAGCGGTTAGAAAGCATGCAAATGCAAGTAGATAAATAGGGACCACCTCGGTGGGAAGGTAAACAGCGTTCCGTGTCTAAATCACACTGGCCATGTGACCACGGAAGATTGTCTTTGGACAAACGCTGGCTCTATGGCTTGAAGAGCGGGATGAGCGCCGCCCCCTAGAGTCGGACACGACTGGACAAAAATTGTCAAGGGGAACCTTTACCTTGCGGGAACCAAAGATGGTTATTCCCAGTCCCAGGGCAGACGCCGATGGGATACTTAGCTTTGCAATTAGAAGGGGACAAAACATCGTCCCTCCAAACGAGCACTGCTTCAAAGCTTCTGTGTCCACCTAGTCAACTTGCAAAAGGTTCCTATGCTTATCTCTTGGTGAGCAGTCCCCAAACAGAAGCTGCACGCAGTCCCAGAATGCCCCCCCCCCGGAAGAATGGAAGGGAAAACCATTTCTGTGGATTCTCCATCAAAAAAAACCCACAAAGGGTCACTCTTAAGTCGGAATTGATGGGACGACAATGATTTATTATCATTATAATACCTATTTTCTTCTCTGAGGTTGTTTTTAAATGAAACAAATTTTACAAGTAATGTTTAAAAGACATATTTCCTCTTCCCTTTTGTCATTTAAGTCCTAATCCACATGAGATGCTCCCTCCTTTTGCCTTTGTTTTTTCACCGTTGGCCACTGTGATGACTTTTGCTGCATAACATGGTCACTTTGCTGTCTCCATTTGCCAGAGGCTCCCCAAGCCACTTCTGAGGATTCTCCATCAAGAAAACACCAAAAAGGGTCACTCTTAAGTTGGAATTGACTGGATGACGCACAATGATTTATTATGACCTACAATGATTTATTATTATTATACCTATTGTCTTCTCTGAGGTTGTTTTTAAATGAAACTAATTTCACAAGTAATGTTTAAAATGAAAAGATGTATTTCCTCTTCCCTTTTTGTCATTAAGTCCTAATTCACATGAGATGCTCCCTCTTTTTGCCTTTGTTTTTTCACCGGCGGCCACTGTGATGACTTTTGCTGCATAACATGGTCACTTTGCTGTCTCCATTTGCCAGAGGCTCCCCAACTCCCAGCCTTCAGGGAGAAGGCAAGAAGGAGCCAGCCGTCAAAGGCCTGCCCTGGTGGTTTGTGTTCATCGGCTGGTTCCTCGTGGCCGTCACCAGTGGCGTGTCTGGGTTCTTCACAATGCTGTATGGGCTGCATTACGGCAAGGAGAATTCTATCAAATGGCTGATCTCCATGGCTATTTCCTTCTTTGAAAGCCTCTTCATCACACAGCCCTTAAAGGTAGGCTTCTTTTCACCGTGCAGTTGATCTAGGTAGGACTTAATAACAAAAATTCCATTCCGTTCCATCTGTCTATCCGTCCGTCCATCCGTCCATCCATCCGTCCGTCCGTCCGTCCATCTCTGTCTCTCTTTCTCCATCCATCCATCCATCCATCCATCCATCCATCCATCCATCCATCCATCCCTCCATCCATCCATCCATCCATCCATCAAAATAACAAAAATTCCATTCCGTTCCATCTGTCTATCCGTCCGTCCATCCGTCCATCCATCCGTCCATCCATCCATCCATCTCTGTCTCTCTTTCTCCATCCATCCATCCATCCATCCATCCATCCATCCATCCATCCATCCATCCATCCATCCATCCATCCATCCATCCATCCATCCATCCATCCCGTATAATCTATATACCACCCCATCAGTGCAACACACTATTCTGGTTGTTGTTTAACAAACTAAAACAGCCGAACAATAACAGACCAGCAGTAAATCAAGACAATAAAAATAGAAATGAAAGTAATTTACTTTTGGAACATCAAGTTCCAAAGCGAAGGTAAAGCAGCGTTTCTTGATACAATAGCAGGGCAACGGCAAAAATCCAATGAGGTTGCAGTCAAATGCTTTTCTATGTCTTCCTCCAGGGGAATATTATTGAGTGGCCAGATCAGAGCACAGCTGTTTGTTCTAGACTGGAGAACCAAAAAAGGCATGTTCTGTATTATTCCCAAGATATTTGGCTTCTATGACTCACTTTAAAGAATGTACTTATTTGTTTTATTACCTCCCACATTTCCTCCAAGCTCAAGGTGAGATATACGGTCCAGTTTTATCCTCACAACAACTCCATTAGATAGGTCAGGATCAAGAGACAGGGACCAAATCCTCTTGTGTAGATACCCAAAAGGCGTAACTTTTGCAGGTCAATTGCCTCAAGTTAAGAAACCTCTATCGACATTATCGGTTGCACGCTGAGCTGTGCAACGAAGAATACAATGGGTAACGTCTGTAACGCTCTCTTAATATGAAGCCAATCACTTCCAAAAGTTACGCTGTTTGCATTATGCCAGCATAACTAGGCAAGAGGATTTTGGCCAGGGTCACCTAGAGAACGGCGTCACTGAGTGGATATCTTGAACCCAGGTTCTCCAAATTCTAGTCTAGCCCTCTATGCTAGACATGATATGATACAGATGCTCAGTTGCAGAACACATGCTAAAGGCTTTTGCTGGATGTACAGTTTTTCCCTACCCCATCCCACACCTCAGATTGCTTATTACTATGATATACTACGGCCAAATCAACACACCCTGGAATCATCTAAGTATATATGAAAATTTTTTTGCTTTGTTTCACTTTCAGCTGACCCGTATATCACACCAAATGTAAGGTGGTTTCCAACCCATTTAAGAGTATGAGCATAAACACAGAAAGAGGTTTGTAATCTTTAAGCAAGAATTGCCAACACCGAGAGCAGCGGTTCTCAACCTTGGTTCCACAGATGTTCCTGGACTAAAAGTTCCAGCAGCATAACTAGGCAAGAGGATTTTGGCCAGGGTCACCTAGAGAACGTCGTCACTGAGTGGAGATCTTGAACCCGGGTTCTCCAGATTCTAGTCTAGCCCTCTATGCTAGACATGATATGATGCAGCTTATCAGTTGCAGAACACATGCTGGAGCCTATCATCCTCTGCCTGTGCAAAAGCAGCAGGAAGCTGATCATTTAGAACCAAGTCCAGTAATATGTTTCTGTCTCTAATGTGTTACAGGTTTTAGGATTTGCTGCTTTCTTTGCTTTGGTTCTGAAAAAAGTAGAGCAGGAGGATGAGGAGGAGACATCTATCGATGGTCCGTTATCCACCTCAGGTAGTGTATGTAGTCACCCTGATAACAATGGTCCTTGCTGTTGTATTCATGAAGGCTTTCACGGCCGGGATCTAATGGTTGTTGTGGGTTTTTCAGGCTTCTTGGCCGTGTTCTGAAGGTGGTTTGAAACTCAACAAAACTTGGCTCCCAGCTCTCAAAAATACAGCATGCAAAAGGTCACGAACTCTACCCAACCTACCCCATCCCACACCTCAGATTGCTTATTACTATGATATACTACGGCCAAATCAACACACCCTGGAATCATCTAAGTATATATGAAAATTTTTTTGCTTTGTTTCACTTTCAGCTGACCCGTATATCACACCAAATGTAAGGTGGTTTCCAACCCATTTAAGAGTATGAGCATAAACACAGAAAGAGGTTTGTAATCTTTAAGCAAGAATTGCCAACACCGAGAGCAGCGGTTCTCAACCTTGGTTCCACAGATGTTCCTGGACTAAAAGTTCCAGCAGCCTTCACCAGAAGCTGTGCTGGCCAGGATTTCTGGGAGTTTTAGTTCAAGATCATCTGGGGACCCAAGGATGGGAACCAATGATTTAGAGCGTGGGAGGCTGGAGGATTCTGGGAGTTGTAGGCCACCAAAGCAACATCTTCAGCATCTTTCCAAAACAGCCATTTCCAAGATTCTCAGGAGTGGTCGTGGAAGGAAGAAAACAAAACTAGCTAAGGTTTTTGGCATACGTCTCTGACAGTTTGTGGGCTTTGTCTTAACTTAGAAAGCAACCTGGAGCCTATCATCCTCTGCCCGTGCAAAAGCAGCAGGAAGCTGATCATTTAGAACCGAGTCCAGTAATATCTGTCTCTCTCTAATGTGTTACCCCCATACAATTGGCATTTCCTGCCTGATGGGATCTGCTTTCTCTATGGAAGTCTGAACTTAGTATTACTGGTTTAATGTTTTTGTCTATGTGGCAGCGTGTTTTTGTTACATGCCATCCGGTTGCTTCTGAGTTACGGTAACCCTAAAAGGGCTGGGTTTATTTATTTCTTCCTGTTTTGTTCCATTTTTGAGGTATGTGAGATGTTCAAGGATGTGGTTTACCATTAGTACCCCCATTTTCTATGGCCAAGTGGGGAATTTGAACCCAAGTCTTCTGAGTCCTAGTTCAACACTCTGTCTACTCCACCACACTGGCTCTCAAATAATTTTAACATCCTGGAATATTTACGCTGTTTTAGAAGAAGACATCTGTTTGGAGCCACAGGTTGTATTCTCTGGGGGAATTCTGAGAGATATAAATCAGAAAAATAACATTTCCAAACTCTGAATGGGAACCGTTGCTGAATTTCTTATGCTACACTATAATTTTCCATTCTAGGAGTATTGCCTAACAGACAGACACTTAAATATGTCTGACCTGGGAGAAAGACTTGAACTGGAAGTTTTTTTTAGTGATCTAGGCCTAGCACTATTGAAGCTTCCTCTTCCTGCCCCAGTGCTAGCTGGGTGATTTCTTTCTAAACAGGAAGTGTGGGCAGAGCTAGGCCTAGCTCGGCCTGAAGGGGGAATTCTGAGAGATATAAATCAGAAAAATAACATTTCCAAACTCTGAATGGGAACCGTTGCTGAATTTCTTATGCTACACTATAATTTTCCATTCTAGGAGTATTGCCTGACAGAAAGACACTTAAATATGGCTGACCTGGGAGAAAGACTTGAACTGGAAGGTTTTTTTTAGTAATCTAGGCCTAGCACTGTTGGAGCTTCCTCTTCCTGCCCCAGTGCTAGCTGGGTGATTTCTTTCTAAACAGGAAGTGTGGGCAGAGCTCGGCCTAGCTCGGCCTGAAAACCTTCCAGTCCAGGCTTTTCTCACAGGTGAGCCACATTTAAGTGTCTGTCAGGTACAGCTCCCACAATGGAGAATTATGATGGGATTTATAGTCCAAGAAATCTGAAAATCCGAGCCTTACACATTGTTCGAGGAATGTGAAAGTTGGCCAACCATTTCAAGTATCGTTCTCTGCTGGAGGAGTTTGGAATGCTTGCTGCAGGATTCTTTGGTTTCATGTCTAAAAAAGTAACTTCCCCACGCTCTGTGTCTTGCATCAGTTATTTATGCATACACCAATATCTCATGGGTCTAGCACAAATGCATTACTTAGGATGGCCTGCAAGAATGAAAATCATCATTACATAAATGCAAACAAGCAGTAAAAGAGAGAAGGTGAGTCATTACATTGTTAAAAATTGATATGCCTTACAAAATGGAAGCCTGCTGGAATAAAAAGTCCCCAACAGCGAGCAGGGCAACGATATCTCATGGCCCAAGCAATTTGGACTCTGCTTCCATGGTGGCAGTACCATTCTGGGTGTTACAGAAGCTATCCAAGCTGCTAGTTCTCATGCTCCAAATAGGTTCAGCACCTTGGACAGCTTCTGTAAAGTTCAAGCTAAAGCCCAGAATGGATTCTCCACTGTTGTAAATCCAGAGCTCACCCCTCCGGGTGCGGGCGCAAGGGGACCCACATTTTGGATGCAGCCGCTGTGAAAGCCCTTTCTTGTCCTACCCAACTGTGCCTCCATTGGAGGCAGAAGACAACGAAAGGTCTCTCTTTCAGATCCTGGGGTGGAGGAAAGTCAAATATTGGAACAATGAATTAAACCACCCATCCATCTAGGCCAATAGGGGCCAACTATGGCTGGCTCCTCTGGATTTGGGGGAAGGATCTTTTCTAGTCCTGCTTGGAGATCCTTGATGTTCTCATTTGGAATTACACCCAAGTACCAACCATGTTCGACAGTGTCACTGAAGCAACCAACATGAATTTGACCCAACTCCAGGAGGCCGTGGAAGACAGGAGGGCCTGGTGCGCTCTGGTCCATGGGGTCACGAAGAGTCGGACAGGACTTAACGACTAAACAACAAAACTAACCAGGCCTACTTTATTTCCAAAATCAGATTAGCTCAGATGGGAAGCAGCCCCTTCAAAAGACTCAGATCTAAGACAGTGGCAAAGAATCCTTAGCCCTGCTGAAGTTCTAGATTTCAACGCTTGGACACCCGAGTTAAAATCCAGACTTTGGATTGTGCCCGAAAACGTAACAATAAACCAGGCATATGTTCTTAAGCTTGGTCTAACATGAACGGGTGGCTGAGGGCTCACCGCAACATGAGGATTCCCGTGTGATGTTGCATCACGCCTCATTGGTTCCACCGACAAAATTAGCACTCAGCCGAGCCCCACCGGACACCTGCCAGCCTTCTTTAGCATCATTAAAAAGTGGTGGTTTTGCTGCCTGTAAGCAGAACTCTGCCATCCACTTAGAGTGTTCCTCCCTTGTGTTGAAATCTATTTTTGTCTCCCTTTCTCTCCGTCTCCTCCTTTTGATAGCCTTGCTGAGTGGATCGTTTATGTTTCTTGATCGCCACAGCCATTTACACCTCAGTTTTTCTACCCTTAAGTTTTCCTGTGCTCTCTTCTTCCCATCCCTTTCCTCCGTTATCTTAAGTGCTAGGTAAGCCTCTGTAAATCCACTTTATAATAAAAATACCCAGCTTCTCTGGTGGGGTTTTAAAGTTTCCTTTTAAAAAACATAATATCCTGCCTGCTTTTTTTGTGTTAAGAAGTCAAGACACGTCAAGTACTCACATTTAAAACAGCAATAAACAACTCTAGCAAAGAAATATCTCACCAAGAGATAGCAACAGAGTCGGCAGTAAAAATAATTAGAATTAGTTTGTGCCTGGTGATGGAGGCTAAATGTCCGTGGGATTACATTTATAGCCCAAACAATAAAACGATTCTAGCTGGATGATTCAAGAGCTAGTTCCAGAGAAGATTTTTTTTATCTCTGCCAGAAATGGTGCCTCTCATAAAGCCAACAGCAGGCAAAGTCTTTGTTTGAGATGCCTGGATCTCATTCGTCTTCTGGTTGGGATGCAGTCTTCAAATACATTTCCACTCTCCTGTCATTTCCAGCTGATAACTGCCCGCTTCCTCTTCTTCCTGCACAGGTGATTCGAACTCCATCTTCGGAGCCCGGAGGGACAGCGGATGCAACATCTACCAGCCTCCTCCTGCTACCGACATCGAGAAAATGAGGAACGACCGCATTATGGAGCAGAAAGCGTTTGCCCTGATTAGAGAAATACTGGGTAATTTTCAGTGTTTGTGTTCTGTAAGGTCTGGGAAGGAAGGGTGTGCTTTAAGAAAAAACGTCTGAATGGGTAGGGCCCAATTCAGAGAATTAGATGCCCTTTGAAACTGCAAGGCGGGCGGTCTAATTCCCTTGCTGAAGGAATTAGTCATGACTTTGGTGGGCCAGGTGGGGGCGGCAGGAGCATGCACAGAGGCGGGTGATCAGCAGGGAGTCAGATGCCTACACAGAAGTAACTGCTATACAACTGCGGTGGGGGTGTAACATGAGCACATTGCCCCCTCCCGGGCATGAACCAAAAACTGATTGCAAACCTGTTTAGTTTTCCAGTTGGTTCATGGTGGTCCACGGTTCGTGGCTAACCGCATACCACAAACCACCACGAACTGACCTTTTTTCAGTTTCATGCCCATCTCTGCTTAGGAGTTCTGTAACATGTCGTCCCATAGGATGATCTTTGCTTCCTTCCTAGGTCAGAGTTACCCCCATTGTTCCTCCCCCCCCTCCCGTTGCAAAAGGGCTCCGGTTTTCCAAGACAAGAAAGCAGAGAGACTGAAGCAATGGGGGCTGAGAATATATGGCTTCCCTCCGTCCCCTTTCTTTGGCTCCTGTAAATGCGTAGGCAGAATTTTTGGATTGCACTCTGGTCGCTTTCTGAATCCATGTCAAATCATCAGCATAAATAGGGGAGCTCAAGAGGATAGTTCTTTCTTGGTGTGATTGCCGATAATAGTAATAGTAATAGTGATGATGATGATGATGATGATGATGATGATGATGATGATGATGATGATGATGATGAAGCACACAGTCATTTCAGGGGTGGAGCAAATTAAGGGAGGAGCTCACCCAAGAAAACGTGGTTGGTGGGCTCATCAATATGATAGAACTGCTGCCTTTGGCCTCCACAGAGCATTTGGAACATCAATTTGGGCTTGAAAAAGCTAGTATGTTTCATTTTTCCTCTCCTTTTCCCAGCCTACCTGGGTTTCTTGTGGATGCTACTCTTGGTTGCCTATGGACAACGAGACCCTAACTCTTACTATCTCAACAAACATATTGAAGGCAGCTTCACCGATGGATTCCAGGACGTTTTAAGTTACCAGGATTTCTTTAAATGGGCAAGAACCACCTTGGTCAACAATTTATATGGCCCACATCCAGGTACAAAGATAGTTTTTGTTGATGCAGCATTTAAGCTCAAGACAGAGAGAGAATGTGTTATGATGAGCAACAGCATTGTTTGCAGCCTATTACACTTGGGGAGGGGAATAATGAAGGCATAACAATGTTATTTTGAAATGCAATATAGTGACAATTAACTTCATTACTTGGGGACCTAATGACTAATACTTTGTCCTACCTACATCATAGCAATACTTACTCATTACTTTGAAATGTTATTTTGGTGATTCATGAACGCAGTTTTAGGTGTGGGGGGGTTTATTGTTGTTTTTAAGAGTTTTTTTAAACAAATTAAAAAGCATGTGTTAGCAGTTCACTTTGAAATGTTATTTTGGTGATTCATGAATGCAGTTTTAGGTGGGGGGTTTTATTGTTGTTTTTAAGAGTTTTTTAAACAAATTAAAAAGCATGCGTTAGCAGTTCGTCACCAACAAGCAATGTCAATCATTACTCATGAGTAAAGCGTAGTGAACAATTATTTGCCTTAAAATAATCATAGCACTTTTGCAAAGACATTCTGAAAACTGGTTTAAGAGTTGAGGGACATCTATATTTAATTGTTTCTATAATGTGGTGGCGCTGCGGGTTAAACCGCAGAAGCCTCCGGGCTGCAAGGTCAGAAGACCAGCCCTCGTAAGATCGAATCCACGTGGAGGGAGCTCTTGTCGCTTGTCCCAGCTCCTGCCAACCTAGCAGTTCAAAAGCATGTAAAAAGGCGAGTAGATAAATAGGTACCACCTCGGTGGGAAGGTAAAGGCATTCTGTGTCTAGTTGCACTGGACTCATGACCACGGAAATGGTATTTGGACAAATGCTGGCTCTACGGCTTGGAGACAGGGATGAGCACCGTGCCCTAGAGCTGGACATGACTGGACTAAAATAAATAAATAAATAAATAAATAAATAAATAAATAAATAAATAAATAAATAAATAAATAAATAAATAAATAAATAAATAAATGTCAAGGGGAACTTACATTGGCTTAAAGGGCGCTGCAAATACTGCATGCTCCAAGAAGCTGTTTCCCCCTCCCTTGCATCCCAACCAGGCTTCATCACAGACGGCAACTCCAAGCTGGTGGGCGGTGCGCGGCTTCGACAAGTGCGGGTCAAAGGCAACACCTGCCCGATAGCGCCTAAGCTGCAGGCGACGGTGGGGGAGTGCCACGCAGCCTATTCTTTTGATGCCGAAGACACAGCGGACTATGGAGAGCAGTGGAACCGCTCTTCCCTCGACAACTCTTCGGATCTCGGTTCTGCCTGGCGCTATCAGAGCCAGTCCAAACTCAGAGGGCATCCAGTGTGGGGCAAACTGGCTGTCTACCGAGGAGGAGGATACGTGGTTTACTTGGGCACAGATCCCCAGAATGCCTCCAGGTAGCTTCTTCTGTTGACGTTTGCATTGTACACTAGTTGCTTACTAGGTCCACAAAGTTTAATGAATTAATCAAGCAAAACGTTCTGTTCTCCCGATTTTATTTATTTATTAGCAGGGAGCTTGGCAAGTATTTGGTACAAAGTCCCAACCCTATTAAAAATGACCTTTTCGCCCCCTCCCCAGAAAAAAAGAGAGGGTGGGCGGGTTGGTTCAAGCCATGAGTCAAGACCAATTCACTGAAAAAATAACCCAAAGTTAAGTCCAACTCATTGGTGCCACTTAAGTCTGATTTGACAGTGTGTCCCGTGACTTGACTTCCCATCCCGTTCAATATCGTTTGTTTTGGATGAATTGTTCATGTGTAGGATGACAGTATCATACAACCAATACGTCACACACTTCTTCTGTTTGTTCTTTGGCAGAATTCTCCAGTACCTCTTTCAAAACACCTGGCTGGATACCTTTACAAGGGCCGTGTTTGTTGAGTTCACTGTCTACAACGCCAACGTCAACCTGTTCTGCATTGTGAACCTCATGTTTGAAACCAACTCCTTAGGTGAGAGCTGGACATTTTTCTCCAGCACTCGGACAAGGGGGCAACAGGCTGCACGTTACTCTGAGAA